GCACAGGACAAGTAAGACCAAGGACAAAGTTTACAAAAAGGCTTCAGGTACACTGTCAGAGCTGTGTGTGGTTCAGGCACAGTGTTAATTCAGAATATGTTTTCACATGGTTCTTAATTAGAGCCATTGGGACACCTCTCTGTGTCCATTTTATGTTTCCAGATTATACGCTGAAAGAGGAAGAGTGTGGAAATCTGATTTAGCTAATGTCTAGGCAGGAAATGGAAAGTAACTGTGGAGCCCAATGCACTCAAGCTGTGCCCTGTACTCTCCATCAGCTTTAAATATTTTATTAAAAAATGTTCATATTGACGTACATTTACTGATAACCTTTAACTTTTTGATATGATTGAAAAAGATCTGCTGATAAATAATGCTTAGAGTAGAGAAGAATCATGATAAAGGATGTGGTATCAAGTCTATAAGCTACAGTCCAGAAACAGATAAAATGCAGAATAAATATCATACCAAGCTAGATATATTGGATTAGCCAGAAATGTAAGCTTTTGACTCAGGAATAGTTAACATTTGACATTTGTACATATAATTTTCCCTCCAGAGCTCACCACAGGGAGTACTGTTTACAAACACTTACTGTGTGTTCCTAGCTTTTACTAGGATTTTTACTAGGTGTGAGAAACAGTGTTTCAACACTGAGGAGAGAACAGTGAAGTGAACCAAAATAATACATAATACCTTTTGTAAGATAAGCTGGGTGTGTTAATGAATGTAATTCATGGCCCCAGCAAAAAGCACAGTTAGAACTGGAAGAAAAGACCATAAAGGCCTGAGAGTTAAAACTCAAGAAGTCAGGAATGTAAATTATTTATGAAAAATGCTTCTTGTAAGAGGTTTTGAAAGGTTTTGTTGTGCTCAGACACCCATAGATAAGAAATGAATATCTCAGTTTGCAAAAATTGTCGTTATTGTGCTCCAGCCTGGAGTTTAGAGATGTATAGTCAGTTCTGCAATCCACTTCAGACTTTGTGTGTAATTTTGGGCAAATAATTTAGCTTCTGAGTGCCCTAAAGTTTCTATTCTTTAAAACCAGAAAAAAATGTTTACTTCACAGAGACTGTTTTCAGAATTTCTAAAACATTCAATTTTTGTGGCGATGGAGACCAGAGACAGTGAAAGAATACGCAGATAGTGAAGTAGCTGCAGGATATAGCATAGGTAGGCTTCATCCCACCTAACTTTAGCTGTCTGTAATGTCTGTAATCCAACCAAGGCTGCTTTTGCATCCAGTAGGGTCAAATAAGCATTTTAGGACACTGTTCACATGGCTTCTATAAGGTATGTATTTTAGGTGAAAGCAACTATTCCCTAAAAGTGCTTATTTTTTTCTGCTGACTTGAAGTGGAGCCTAGGATTATCAGCTCTTACGCAGACATCTACATGACAGATACCCTCCTTTGGTCAGATGACTCCCACCCAAACTTTGCAAATTGCTTCTAACAGGCAGGAGGCTTAGGCCCTAGATATACCTGCTTCTTATAGTAAATTAATATAGAATAAAACAAAAATAAGTGTGAAATAAAGATTATACCTAACATTTATTAAATGATAGTGTGAAATAAAATGTATTGTATTGCAATATTGCAAACAATTATTAGATACCGGAATTTGCGTGACTGAGCACAAAGTGTGATTGTGTGTAAACTTTACTCCTGTGGAGATCTTTGCAAGCAAAGTGCACATCTTGTACTCAGTTCTGGTAAGTACGGGTAAAATTACAAGGTTTGTAAAATTAAGTCTGAACCAGTATGTTTATCATTTTGGAGAGCAAAGGCAGGAGTTTCCTTCCCTTTACATAGATACGCATTCAAGGTGTATCCATGTTAAAGATCATGGAAATAGGTCATTTGTTTAGGCTGCTCTCAAAAATAGCTGTCCTGCCTTTAGAAACTCTTAAGCAATTTGTCACATTTTGCTATTCTCTAGTGTATCTGCTTCAGTCTCGTCTTCTCTCTTTGCACATTATTGTTCCAAACATGTCACTACACCAAACGTTGCCTGTCACTGGGGTGTCTACCAGATTCTAAACTGGTATCTCTGAAAAGTATTTTAGACCTGCTTGATAGTGTCTATCAACATTTTGACATCCAACAGGTGATCAGATAGAATATACATGACCCTGAGTATGCTCGTATTTACTGATATTAACATTTTGAATGAAACTGCTTACCCTTCTGTTCCATTTGTTTCTTTATTCATGGTAAAAAACTCCATGATCAATTTTGCCTCATAGGTTTTCTCTCAAGACTATTTTCTTAGACTATATCTTAAAAGCAGGAAGAAACAGTAGGAGAAACCACACTCTAAGACAGGTTCAGCCCTTTCAGTACTGTGAGGAGCATCACAAGCCATGTATATTTAAACCCTGGAGTCAAATGACAGCAACTTCCTATGACAACAATTTACTAGGCTCCATTCTGGATTCCATATTTTTTTTATTAAGGCCAGTTCCCACTTGGGCCTTCTTAAAACACTGACCACACCCCCCTTGATTTAAGTAAAATTGCTGATTTTAAATAATGTAAAGTTTTAAAATAAGTAGTAAGGATTCGAGTATCAAAACAACTCCAACAAAACCTCCACCCAATAAATCTATCATAATGTTACGTAAGGAAACACACAGCAGAAAAGGTGAGTCCTGGAGTATCAAGGACCCCATAGCCCAGAATTTGCTGCACCCAGCTTGTCAGCCATAACTATCCTTGCTCACATAACTTAAGAGATACGTTTTTGGTTGTCAGTAAGAATTCAAATTCAGAACCTTTGAACCCTTTGTTCTAGGACATGCCAAAACTGCGATGAAATTGAAATTGATACGCAGTAATCCAAGAATACTGATACACAACAATTTTCTGTGTAGGACCAGTCAGTGGGAGTAGTTTCTCCCCTCTGACCGGGTCCTACTGTTGTAGATTGCTTTGTCAGACATGCCTCTGTGAATGTTCAAATCTGTCTTTATAGGGAGGGCTGAAGGGAGCAAATAGATTGGCAGGAAAATAGCTCCTTAAGGAAACAGCTGAGACAATGGCATATTTCATCCTGTGATAGAACTGTTTTATCACTGAAAAAGTGATAGAACTGTTTTGTCCAGTTGAGAATTAGAGACCTCAAGACAGGTTTGATCAAGAATGATTTACCATTAAAAAATAACTGGTCACGAATAGGCTCGCCAGCAATCTCTGTCAGAGAACCAAATCATGAGGCTCTCTGGAGGTACCTGATAGAATTCACCTTTCCCAGGTAAAGTGAAGCAGGAAAAGAAAACATAAATAAAGGCCTCCTTTATTTTAAGATATTGTTCTCTCTTAAGTGTTAATATTTATTCATATTATATTTAATATATTTAAATATTTGTGTGTTATATTAAATAAAAAAATACATAAAATACTTTTAAAGGTGCTACCTGACTGTCATAGCTTCCTGAGAGGCCGAAAATGCAAAACATGAGCATAACTCAGACATTTGGAGGTAATCTGAGGGAATACTAGGGGACTACAGCCAACAACAAATCTAAAAATGGGAGACTTGTGTTTCTCTTGCAATCCACATGACTCATAAAGGTCTGAGACTTGAGGTTACATTCAATCTGACTAGGCTGAGAAGAACAAACTGTTTGTCAGTTTCTTGTAATTAGGACAAAACCACCATTTCATATGGAAATTTCTTGGCTGCCGTTTCAGATCACAGAACAAGGCATAATGTGCTATATGAGTGAAACACTGGTTAATAGATGGGCTGGTACACTCTGTCCTGCTGCAGATTCCCAGTCCTTGCTATAAAAGGTTTGTCAGAGTCTACATCTGTACCTTTTGTCAAGTCCAGATACTAAGGCAATGTCTGCCACTTCAGTGGCAATGTAGCACATTTCCCAGGCTGCAGATGTAGAAACAGATTCCACAAACTAGAGATGGTGATATCATTTGCAAAATTACATTTGATTCTTTTTCCCAGTGTATAAGTATCTAGAGCCACATATTTAAAGGTACTTAGGCAAACATAAATTTACTTGGGGAAGATTATAATTCTTCATTAGCACTGCCCAATCTATTCTGTGCATGTTGCAGCAATGTTTTCCTTCCTCCCCGATACGTCGTACTTCCTGCGGTAGTAAAGCTTGATCCAGCCGTATTTGCTGCTCAGTTCAGTGGGAAATAAGTACTCAAGAGTCTTAAATCTAGCTTCATACCCAGCTTTCCAGGATTCAGCTTTACTCAGCTGTTCCTCCTCTCTGTCCTGGTTTTCACTAAACCATATTGTTGATATGAATATTATGTTATCTCTGCTCTGAGAATTTAACTACAGCAATTCACAGCAGCCTGGCTGCTTGGCTCCAGCAGGCAGTCCTTGGGCTGTGTGATGCTTAGCACTAGTAACTGTTTACCAGAACAGATATGTGCGTAGATCTGCATTTTCATTTACTTTTTAATCCCACAGTCTCTCTCAGCATAAACTTCTGTGGCACAAAAGCAGTAGGTGTTTGAATGAACTACTCGCATGTAGCCTTCACAGTTTTAGAGGAAGCAGGAGTATTTACTTGGCAAAGTTGTTTTAGTTGTTTTATTAAATTGAGTCTCAATGCTTAAAGGTTGAATAATTTATCAGTACCATAAATAACACATTTTTGTGCGTTTGGTTTCTGAATATTCACACAGTTCAGATGATACAGCAAATAATGCTTTTGTCTATCTGAGCTTTGAGTACTTCTATGTTTCACAATACTATCTAGAGACCAGGTGATGGCAGTAGTTGCTAATAATGCTGTTGAAAAAGAGGCCTGTTTACAGAAGCTGAGAAGTGAAGTGGTTATAATCAGAGGAAAGGCAAACTACATCTGAATGTGTGTCAGATATTACAGCCTATCAAGCTATTAGCATTATTGATTAGTCTTTAAGCTCTAAACTGGATAGTTAAGAAGAACCTGCAAATATATATGTTAAAGGATTTGGCCTAACAATTTCTTTCTTTTATTTTTTTTAATGCAGCTGTTAGTATTAGCCAGCCTAGTTTCAGTGGCACAGACGTCTTTGGCTATACTTCATTCCTAGCTTATTCTACAATCCCAAATATCACCTTCTACTATGAATTCCGCTTGAAATTTCAGTTGATAAACCACCGTTCAGCTTTACAAGATAACTTGATATTTTTCACTGGACAGAAAGGCCAAGGTAAGTTTTATTATTATTATCTGTATTTACAAGCTTTCAAATATTTACAGCCCACCAGGATGAAAATGTACGTAGGTTTCTGTGGATTCTTTTTATGACATAATCTCATTTGGAGGAAAGTAATCTCTTCAATTCTTTATTGCTTTGTAATCAGATTCTGTAAATGGTTTTATCATAAAAGAGGAATATTACTGCTTACAGTGATTAGAATAAGCAGTAAGTATGATGATTCAGGTAGCAGATTTCTGAACAAAATATATGGAAACTAGAGGATTAAGATTCTCTTTTCAGTTGCAAACATAGATTTCATTATTGATTACATTTATTTGGTGCCCAGTGGTATGGCCTCAAATCTTCTTCCACTGATATTTACTTTGTTGGGAAATCCACCCATCCATCCATGCGTCTGCCCCTCCATCCATCCAGTGTGCCACAGCCACCTGCTCATGTTTCCTGTGACCTCAACTGACCTGCCGTAGAACCAGCCAGGAACTACTGTGGTTGTCACAGTAGTTGCACTTCCATGGCCCACAGGAATCTCAGCACTGAGTGGCACTATGACAGCAAAAATTGGATTCTGTGTTATATATGTAAAATATTAGACCCTTCTAGAATTAGAATTAAACTGCGTTTAAGGTCAAGATAATGCAACTCAGTTGCAAGAAACAAAAATGTCTGGAAAACCGAAACTGCAGGAGAGCTCTACTAGTATTAGCCAAACTTTCCACACTTTCAGTTAGCCTCATCCTGACCTTTGTGGCTTTGCTTACAGTCTAATTAAAGAACCATGCTATAATTACAGTAGCTTATCTTCCTGTGGGAGTAAAGTGCTAAAATTTGTCAAGTAGGCAGGTCACTAGCATTCTCTAGCATTTTTAGCAGTATACCATTTTGGTTGCATCAATCTGACATCATTCAATGCAGTTAACTCAAGCTAGCTATGAATAAGTTGTGCGAGAAACGGTATAGCAAAGCATTCAACTTGATCCGATTAAGGTAGCTGAGGAGCAGTATATATTGGTCTAATTGCAATGCTTGCAATAAGACTTTAATAGTACCTTAGGTAGCTCTGCACAGCACCCCACTGTGGCAGACTGGCATAGCCTTCGCGTTCCAGTGGGGTAGTATGGAAACACTACTTGTATTCTGTCTGTCTTAGCCTTACTGTCAACATGGGACCTTTAATATTGATGAAAACGGAGAAAAATTTCCTGAATGGTTAATGCAGACATACAGTACTCAGGGTAGAAACTACTTTATACCTGGTAATAGGTCGTAGAAAGCATATTACTTATTTCTACCATATTCACTTCTGCGTTTATAACATGCGCTAACTTCTGAATTTGGAGTTGTCGTATGGGATTGTTGAAGCTTGGGAGGGAGGCTTGGTGATGTGTCTTTAGGTCTAAACCCATCACAGTGGGAGAGTGATCTAGGTACGTAAGTGTAAGTGTCCACTGCCACACTAGATGCTTTACCATATCCAAAAAATCACATGAGTTTGGCAGATATGGCCCAGTACTTACGGGATGCCTCAGCTTATGTTGAGCAGCATTAGAAAATTAATACTTCAGGAAGATGAAAGAAGAGAGCAATTATTATTTGTGGTTTTAAGATACTGAAGTTCCAACCTACATTATTACAAAAATCAGTTTTCGGGAGGCCCGAAACTGTTATGCTGTTACATATATGTTGCATATATATTGCATAAAGCAAATCCATTACCTCACAGCAATAGGATAAAGCGTATCCTCACTTTACCATGTTAATGTGTTTGAGGTGGGGGATTTTAGCGCTTTTTCTATTGAACTTTTATACTTAAGTTCCTGTGCTCTTTGGGGCTTCTTCTCCTTGTGCTGGACTTGAGAGAGTCATTTTCTAGTGTAAAACCAGGTGCCAAACCATGTGCATTTCTTTCTCTGCAATCCTTATCTACAGAAATGTCTCACTGAGTTTAGCAGAATAAGTCACATAAATAAGACAGTAGGAAATTTCCTCTGCTTTAAATATGATTTCCTGGGTAGTAGATGACCTGTCACTCAATTATTTTAGTCACTTGTATGTGATCAAGCTAGCACCTATTTAAAAACTTAAAAAACTGTATCTCAGATGAAAGTAACTGCTCTCCAGCTAACACTCAGTAGCAGACTGTGAACGTGCTATTAATCCAGTGCAATGCAAACTGAAACGTTAGCTTAGAATGGCTTGCCAGTTCACATATCTGCAGTACAATAAAGCTTTTTATTTTTCATTTCTGAAGATCCTGTCAAATTTAGTTAGCGCAGCTCAGCAGATCAGTTGTATCTCAGGGTGCCAAGATACCTTGGTGCAGCATATGGGCAAACAGCCACAGGCCAATTTACTTAATTGATCAAGTTGATTGTACAAATTACCCTGATACAAGGCTAAGGATTAAACTAGTGTAAGTGTATTTAAGCTCAAAAGTTTATTCTGCTTCTGTAGATCTGTAGTTAAAAAGATGCAAATTTTGTGAATCAGACTTCTGTGATTTTTTTTTTTTCCTGGACTTGAACAAAACATAGTTTGGCCTAGTTGATACTGCTAATGGAACTATATTAACGCTATTTTAACTGCATGCCACGCTAACAGTGCTGGTGGCACATTTTATTTCCATGACAATCCCTGGTTTTGCTTATCCTCAGTTCACTCCTGAGCAGTGTTTCCTTTCACTTACTAGTTATTTATCATTATGGATGAAGGAAAGTTTGTCTCTCTTTTTCAACTAGACAATTAGAAATGGTGCATGGAGTTGTCATTACCAGAAAAATTTCCATCTGGTCACTCAGAAAGCACCTTTCAGAAACCAGTATCTCGATCTTTACACTTTAATAATAATACTTGGTTCTTTCATAATACAAACATTAATGAATCCTCAGAATGTTCTTTTCAATGATAAGAATGAACCACAACACTCAGATAAATTTCTGCAACCCTGGGAACTGAATTTCAAACTGCCAGTACAGAAATTGTAGGAAACTCAACCAAACACTAATTTGTCCATTATCTTTGTTCAAGATAGAAGTGCAAATATGAAATGAACAGCATAAATGGTGAAAAAATAACCTTAATAAAAATTTTTCTTCAGTTATAATAAGAAAAACAGTTTAAAAAACTGTAAACACATACAAAGGACTGACTCAATTTCTTTCTATTAAAGTCTCTTTCAAAAAGGCCTACCTGCAAAACATGCACTGTAATGTCAAAGTCATTATGAAGTATAGTTCTTGTAGCCATATTTAGCAGAACTGACTTTAAAGAATTCTTACTTGATGTCTCATGGTGTCATTTTTATTAACCAGAATAGTAGCATTCTGGGCTTATTATAGGAAAGAGGAAACCTGACTTTCAGTATTTTGTGTATTTCTCCTCATAAATGCTGCTGTACAATAAAAATACGTTTCTGCAGTTGCATATCAAATCATGAGAGGGCAGCAGAACACCAGCTGTTAGTATGACTGAGAAGCAATGAGGTGCCAGGTAAATTGCTATGTAGCAGTTTTAATTATTTTCTTTTTAAGTTCAGTGATCGGGGAGACTAAGCAACGCTCCTTTCAATTCCCAGAAAGCGGCATCGCTTAACAGCTGAACTTTACTTATTTTACAGAGGAGAGATGCTATGCTACTGTTCCAACAAGTTACTTCTAAGTATTAAATAATAATGCTGTCACCATGAGGAGTAAGATTTCCACAGCCAGTACGATCTTATTTAAGGAAGTATTTTTAATATCCCATTAACATTTTCCCCTTTCTTCACTTCATCTGATTTCTCTTAGTTAGCATTCTCTTGTAGTATCCTACTTAGCTCCCCTTTTCCTTGAATCACTTATCTGAATTACTGATAAAGATACAAAATGCGTAGACGTCATTCTTAGCTTCCAAATTCCAAACAGCTAGCTTTCTTGTCTCTGGTCATTTTTTCTATTATTATTTTTATATTGCAATCCTTAAGTCAGTTTTCCTCTCACATTAATTCTCATGTGATATTTGATTCGAATTAATGCTGTGGCTAACCTTTTGTGAGGATTACCAAATGATTTCTAAAACATAGATAAATAACATCTTCTCCCTCTTACTCCTACAAAGTTTGTAAATCAGAAGTCATTGGTGTTCTGATATCTCATTTAACTTAATATTGAACCTCTCGCAGTAATCTGAAAAACAGGCTTCTTCATTTCTCCTGATCACAGTGGATACATGCCTTTCTTTAGGTCTCAGGTCCATGGCTGACTTCAGGCTTGGGATGCAATACTAGAAAAAATCTGCTATTCTCATAAACCAGGCCCAATGTTGCAGCTCTCTGCATGAGATGTGATTAACTTGATATATTTCACCCATCCTGGGTTTTGTTCTTTCCCGGATAACTGCAACCATTGCCATTAGCATAAAGTCTCTCTTTTAAAAAATCATTTATTTAGAGCAAAACCATTTTAGAGAGAACTATCTTAAAAATCAGTATCAGAAAAAAAATGAATGTGTAGTTTTTTCTCTAAGACCTTTAATCTGACTCCTTACATCTCTTTCTACCCTAAGAAGTCATATTACTGCTAATTTTGATTTATAATTTCTTTTCCTAGTAAAATAAGCTTATATCTTTGTGGAAGCCAAGAGTTTATCTCTTGTCATTTAAATGTACAGTAGGAGTTACTAGACAGTCCTAAATATGAAACTCCAGTTGCATAACATTATTAAATGTCAAACTCTACCTTATCAAGTTACATGAAGTGCTTATAATATTATTATACCCTAACATATTTAGATTATCAGATAGCAATTTCACATTATTGACACTTCTACTTTGAGCAGTCCAGTTATTTCCTGGTTATTTTCCATCATTGCTCTGCCGAAAGTGAAGTACACCCTGTGAGAACATTTCTTCTATGTTCGTTCACAACCTCTGTTGCAGGCTCTGACCATACTGGGGTTTTACCCAGTTTCCCTATAGTGTAATAGAAGGTGCACTGCCCTCCAAAACAGTGACATTTGTATATAATAACAGTGCTGCCAGTCACCTTCTGGATTTGTTTGTTCAGGATGTGAAAATCTTGGAATATTCTGACTTGAGAGACCACCCAGTTCCCTATTTGACTTCACCATAGTTGCAGTCAGCAAAGATGCTGACTTTAGAGCAAGACTGTGCATGAGCTGGGTTGAGGAGGAAGCCTTTGACTGTGAAATTCACTATATGCCTTGGTCCAGCATGGGCCAAACGTGCAGGTTTTGAGTGCATAAAATACAATAAAATTTAGTACCCCAGCCTTCTGGGGAGAGAGTAAAAGTGGGTGCTTTGGTGAATGCCAGGAACCATATATTTTAGTCATTTAGTCATTTATCTATCTTGATTGTAAGTGTTAAGATTATCTGATAGACTGATAGATGTTATATTTTGTATAGATTGTATTATAAAAGAAGAATGCAACTTTAGTTACGTATTTTGAATTTTGTATGTGAATTGTAGATAATGAAACAAAAACGTAGAAATACCTTTTCCGTTATAAGATCAATCAACTAATTGCTTGCATGATGCAAGCTCTATTACATATCTATAAGCTCCATATAGGTCTGAAAGGAGAAAACGTATGTTATTCCCTTGACTGGAAAGAAATTCTATTCAGGAAACAGAAAAACTGTGAATATGAAGATCTTCAAAAATAAAAGCACTAAAGCACGAATGGTTTCAAAGAGCACACATCTAACTAAATTCCAGTGCTGCTGAGTATGCTGTTTGAAACTCAAGCATGAGATTATTTATGTATATCCAGACCAAACATTTGCTCTCAGTGTAAATGAATTTTAAAGGATATAACTGAGGTCTTGCAGTGTGAGACATTTAAAGGATAAAAATATGTAAGAGTGTACATTTTCAAAAGCTAGGATCAGACATAGTAAAAATAGCTGAAACTGGCTAATATCAAGTTTGCTTGTTACCCTCTTTTGGATAAAGAGACACTATCCTTGGTCCACCCCACCCTTTGAAATTATCTTTATTTTGAAGAATTCTGCCAGTGATAGCGTATGCAGTGCTAAATGTGATGAAATCAAAGTATTTGCTGCAAATGTGTAAAACTATTGATTCTAAACTCAAAGTTTAAGAAAATTTCAGAGAATGAAAACATGTTACTGTTCTGACCAGAGAAGCTTCAGTGACAAATACTCTAGAGCTAATAACAGATACAGAAGCAGAAGAAGTGGAGAAACGAACTTCCCAAAAACCCATCTTGTATGTTAATATATACTCTGTGAAATAACCACCATTGGTATTCATAGCTAAAATCATTAAGTCACTTATTTTATAACCTTGAAACTTTAAATGTTAAAACATTTTGAATCTGATTCTCTTTGCAGTTACATTAAGGTAAGAAAAAAATAAGCCGTTAAAAATATGCCAGTGTAAAACTAATGTTTAGGTAGAATTCAACCCTTATTGAACCTTTAAATGAGTGGATCAGAAAGCAACAGAAGTAGTGCGAAAGATAGCTTGATTTCTTTGAAGTCTACCTGACAGTCTGGTTTTCAGTCCTCCCTTGGTATGGACAAGGAATAAGACAAAAGAGTCAAAAGGCAACAGAAGAGTTTAAAGCTGTCTCATTCATATAGACCTCTATTTAGTTTTATTTTTACCATCAGGTCCAGTATATTGTCCTTTCTTGAACAGTACGTGTTCCAGGTGCTTCACTTTCCTGTAACAAAGAAAACATCCATCATTTTGTTTGTAAGGATGGCTATAAATAGAGCAAGAGATACCGTTACAATAAAAATACAAGGCTGTGATCTTCATAATAGCAGTTATTCAATGTGCCTACCATGCTTAGAGGACAAGCATGGTGCTGATTGACATGACTTGTATATAAAAGATCAACCGTTATACTAAGATTAGGCAAAGTTGAAAATGCCAAAATACTCCTATGATTTAATTAGCTAAAGCTATGACTCTTATCTGACATGAGTTAGACATTAAAACTTTTACATTGATGAAAGAGCAACTTAACTGAATAGCTGAGCCAAAGCCCACTGAAATCAGCAATAGACTTTCCACTGGCTTTGACAAGTTCTGGTATTTTTGCTCAGAAGAGATTACTGACTGTGCAATACTTCACTTAAGCTTTGGAATGAATTCATTAACTGTTTTTTGTGATTATCAACTCTCAATTATAAAAGTTATCTTTAGGATTTTATTTTTTTTAATTGTTTAGAACGCTGCCAATGTTGCATTTCTTCTCTGTACTTCATTTCCAAGGAAGCGTTTTACAAATTCAGACAGCATTTTAAATAATGTTTTTTATGTCTATATTTTTCCTGCCATCGTTTTGCAGGCCAAATCACATAAATACATTGTGGATGCAGCTGAAAATAGAAACTTTGAAAATGAAGAAAATCTTTCTGCTTTTACAGTTTGGAAATCCTTCACTGGTAATGTGCCAGTGTAACTGAGGGTAATGAGGTTTCATTGACGGTCATGAACAAATTGTTGTATTGCAAATGAACAGTGTTTAAGTTTTGTTCAACTTAAATGCAGTTGTACATTTTCTACAACTGTTAGGAATAATCTTTTCTTAAAATATATATATTCGTGCTGGATCTAAATAGTACCTGTAGAGAAGTATCAAATATCCATACAGAAAAAGCAGAGTACTGTTTTCCTTCTGTTTGCTAATATAGTGCATTTATTTACAGCATACAAGATCGTAACAGGAATATTGCATTTTTTGGTCATGAAACTGCAGCATGCACTGTGTCAGTGGGAGAAGGAGATACACAGCCCATTCCCTGTTGTGGAGAAAATCCCACCTCATCTTTTGCAGATAGAACAGACTCCACACACACTTGGGGCAGTGACATCAAGACACACTTATGAAATCTGGACCACCATGTGACATTGTGCAAACAAATAGGAAGAGACAGTACCTCCCCCCAAAAGAATAGAAAGTAGGAGAGCCTTATGAAAATAGAAGAAAATATCAAATAAAGTACAATTTAGAGACATGAAATTGGGCCTGAATTACCTGAATTCACAGGAGAGTTATAAAAAGAAATTCAGATATCTCTGAATTTCAATTCAGTACATCCTAATCTGAGACTGAGAACATTCTTCCTTTTTAACTTTGTTTATATTCCATCTCTTTTACCATACTAAGAGGACATGTAAGAGGAAAGGACTGGGGTTTGTAAGAAGAAACAAACTGATCATATTTTCGCTAATTTTCAGTGGTTCTACTTATGCTTACATAACCAGAGGATTTCTCTTCAAAGATTCCAGTGTAAAAATCCATTTCCTTTGACAAATGACCAGGAATAATATTTAGGGGTCTTTTAATTCCTGTTCATATGCTATACATTAGACATATCATAAACTCTTTTGAATGGGACTTTTTATAGTGTGGTACTTGTAAAGCACTGCCTACACTTATGACAGCCTCACAAGAACAAGTAATAAGTAGGTCAGGGAGAAATCTTGAGACTAGTATTGTCATTTAACAGGCCATGAAACTGCACTGGAATAGAATTAAGGCATGAGCTATTCTCTCATGCAGATGCGACTCAGAATTTCATTTTCCTTTTTTAGGTATGATTTTACTTTTGGAGAAAGTTGGGAATTTATTCATGTTGCAGAGTGAGTGAACACCAACGACTGCTAGATCCACCAGGCTCAGAAGGACTGGTGTTTATCACCAACCGACTTTTGTGGGAAAAAGAACTTTCTTCATAAAGCATGCAAATACATTTAAAAATCTCTGCAGTTTCTATTTTACATCAGCAGGATTACTGGAAATTTTATTACAAGCTAAATATAATATTTAAAAAAAATCAAACTCTCAAACCTTTCTGGCTAAAATTTTCCTAAACTGATATATTTTCAGTAGATTTGGAGAATATTTTGTGCTTCAGTATTCACTACATCCTGGAATAATTATCTATTCTACTTTTGTCTTTCCAGGTCTGAATGGGGATGATTTCTTAGTGTTAGGTCTCCGTAATGGCAGAGTAATATATAGCTATAATCTAGGTTCTGGCACAGCAACGATCATTAGTAAACCGCTTGATCTGACGCTCAATATGCATGTCATCCATCTTGGCAGATCTCTCCAAAAAGGCTGGCTGAAGGTAAGAAATTATTTCCTTTAGAAGACTGGCTTTCAGAGGAAAGTTCTTCTTTTTCACTTCTTGAATGAAAAGTTTAAGAATTGCTTATTTTTATGTTTTCCTGTTAAGGTAAGTTTGGAGGATTGTCTTCATTAGGAGTGCTTAAATAGAGTAACTTCCTTTGTTGTAACAATTATAAATGTTTTCATTGAAAGGTGGATGATCAGAAGAATAAAACTGTCACTTCTCCTGGGGGACTGGTTGGACTCAATGTCTTCAGTCAGTTTTATTTAGGAGGCTACCGTGAGTACACTCCAGAACTCCTACCAAAAGGATCCAGATTTAAGAACAGCTTTCAAGGTAAAGCTTCTGCTGTTTTCAATTCCTCTTCGAAAATGCATCAGATTGTTTCAGATGCCTATGAAATAGTGATCTAAAAATCTTATCTTAAAAAAAAAAAAAAGAAAAACTAGGATCTGCTTGGCTGAGATTCATGTGTGGCTTTATCATTTCACTTTAATGACTATGAAACATGATGCAAGGAAATATGCTAAATATTTTTAGTACTTTCTATTTCTGACAGAAGGGGAAGTCCGACATGGCCTCAGCATTTCTCCTTACCTGGCCTGTTCTACAGCATCACTCCAAAAGGGTTTCCTTTCTTTATGGGAAGATTCTCCACCCAACTAATTCTTAGCTCTTCCAGCTGTTGTCACTATTAGTGCTGGTTTGGGCAGTAGTCTTTGTACTGAAGGCTACTTTCTGATACGATGTGCTAAGATCTGGGATTTTTCCTGACATTATGGGCTAATACTTACTGGAATGGACCTCAGTAATCCCTACAAGGAATATTCCAGCTGGTTTTCAAACAGATGATAATTCCTACCTCCAAACTGACATTTGAAGCTCTGTAGAAAGCTTAATTTGCCTGTTAGCAGCTGGAGCAACAATGATGCAAAGGGTTTGTTTACAACACTTCTTTATTTTCATTCCTTACCTCTATAGAAATAATATATGCTCCATGTTTATGAGGTGCGCTTGACTTTATTTTAAAACACTGGACAACTTTAAAATGAAAGAAAACATTTTATCATAGCAGAGCATAATTTGAGTTCTGGATTATAAAATTGGAGTCACGTTGTGGAAGACAAGCACAATAAAATTGACTTTCATACACTAAATATACTCCATTTCCACTTGGACCTCATAACTGCCTCTTTTCTAGCCAGCACCTTATTTTTTTTTTCTAACTCAGAAACTTTCCCAAAAACAAGTACTTAAAGACAAGCATAAAAATAAGGGAATGCAAAGGTAGATCCATCTATTTCTTGTTCCAAATGACATCTATGAATTTCTTGACTCATCTCTTACTTCTGGTGGCAAAGGACAAACGGAACACTACCCTACTTCTCTAATAGTGTTTTAGATCCCTTTTATTCCAAGTGTAGATGATGGTTATCAGGATGCCACTGTATGCAAATGAGTCTTCAGAGCTTCAGCTTCCTGGGAACTGCCCCTCTTTCATATATTTTTCAATAGAGGTATCACCTTAAGCTTTGATTACATGTGGGTTTTTGTGAGAATGCAAATCAAAGAATCATGATTTCATAAAAATCATGCAATAGTATACCTTGGATGGATCTCTGGAGATTATTTAGTCTGACCTCTTGCTCAAAGCAGAGCTAGTTTCAAGTTGGACGAGATTGTTCCATGCCTTGTCCAGCTGAGTTTTGAATGTCTCAAAGGAATGACATTCCACAGCCTCTCTGGGCAGCCTACTCTTTGTCATTAACCACCTCACCTTTTTTACTTTCTTACATCTAGTTTTACCTTGCTGCAACACATGAGTATTGAATCTTATCGTTTTGCTCAGCATGTCCAAGAGAAGTCTGAGTCGGTCTCCTCTATAACTACCTGTTGAGTAGCTGAGGTAGCGGTTAGATTCCCCTGTAGCCTTCTCTTCTCCGGACTTGAAATATTTAAGTATTGTTCAAGATAGTCTAGAGCTCAGCTAGCTTTTGAAATGCAGTGATTCCTTTAATATCTTGATTTCTTATGTTACAATCAAGTTTTCATTCAGAAAGTCATATAACTTACCATTTCCTCTGTCTCCTTTCCAGGAAGTATGGATTGCACAGTTACACCTTTCATAGCTTCTTAACAGTTTTCAAATTGGCAATCATAAAAAGCAATATCTATATAAATATTTTCATAATGTCAATATTTGTGAAGAACTTCTAGCTTTCTTTAGAGGTATGTTAAAGATAGAGATGACCAGGTAGGAATTTCTAGAGTTTCACTTTAACTGTAAACCTTTTTCCAGGTTTAAAGGCTCCTTCTGTTGCAACTGTATTGTGATGACCAAATTTCTACAAATGCAGGAGAAATACTTTTCCGCAAAATAAGCATCTTTCTAAGTTCACATGCTAGCAGTTATTATACTATATATTTATTTTTCTTACTGTTCCAAAAAATGTCCTGTCTCAAGATTTTATCAAATGTGTAGCACATTATCAGTTTTCTCTTTATCATCTCTCTCATTGATAGCATTAGGTTGCCCATACTTGCAAGTTCATTCCATGCTCCAGTTGCCAGTGTCAACTTGTCTTTGTTCTGCAGATCACACTGGCTTTCAAGGAAGCAACACTCTCCTACCACTGATTTCCCACAGCCTTTTCTTGTCCAGTCAGCGTTTCATTTATTCTCCTAATTTGGAAATCTCCCCAAGTTCAGCTCTCAGTCCTCAGTATCAGAAATAAATCTCCATAGTGGGGACTATAGTACCGCTAACATAAGGGCAAATTTGGAACCATTTTACTTTAGTCAATCTGGAGCCATAGGGAACCCACAGATAAACCTAGAAGTAACATTCAAGATAAATTTGTCTAGTGGATAGTTGATTAAACCACCCAGACTTTTGGGAAACTGCTGTTGACTGCCTTTAAAGACATGATTTATTTAAACCATTTTGCTTCTAATACAAGAGTGCATCTATCCCTTTGTGAGCAATCACTATTGGATCAAGAAACATTGAGAAAGTCAAATTTGTTACTGCTAACCTACTGTCCCCAGTGACAGTGTGCAATCATTCAGGATTTTTACTCAGTACAGCTACTGTTTCAGACCATATCCTCCGTTACCTGCATGCCTTTAGCAGCTGTTTAGGTAATTTTCAAGGGAGAGGGGGGAACTGAAAATAAATGTCTTTAATAAACTGAAAACATGGAGTCTACTCATAACTTTATTTAAAGTCCTATTTTCATTAAGTTTATTGATTTTAGAAGTGCTGTGCTTCTGCAGAACAGTGGGTAAAAAAAAATCATAGTAGCTTAGTCCAAGAAGAGTTTATCTCTTCATTCAAAATGGAAATGCTTCACTGGAGCCATGACGTCTTCCAGCCAAAGCATTTCTGCCTATCAGTTGTCATGGATGCAGTTTCTCAGGACTTTGTTGATAGCCACTTGGATCCCGCTGCTCCTCTAGCACGGCAGCCAGCAGAAGAATGAGAAGAATAGAACAGAGAGCAAAGCTAAGGGTGCAACAGAGACAGGGGACCAGAAGGGCAGAACAAGTTTTAGTTCTTGTGATGTTCAGATTGTTATATCTTGATGGCATATTGCAAAAGGGAGGAGTTTCTTATAATGTCTGAGAACTACTTCCAAAATGTACGCACAGCTTAGAAGATGCTACATCTGCTTGATGACAATCCCCTCAAGATTTAAAGGAAGGGGAACTCTATCAGCTGTGAGGTGCAAAAGCAAGACATGAACAAGTGAGGAGATGATCATAACATCAGTTATTTGGGCACTGGATAAAATTAGAGATTTATGATAGTGCAAAATAAACCACAGGAGAGCCGGGATACAGATAAAGTTATGCTTGCACTACTATGACTGCACTGAGGTAGAAAAATCCTTCCTTTCTATCAGGGCAGCCAGAAAAGGAGCAGCATAGTTTAGGATCTAGTGAAAAATGAGTGGCAGATAGCACTGTTGTTAGGAGGCCAAGGAGGGAAGGACTGAGGTAAAGAAGTTATCAGAAGATTGGGAATTTTAAGTTGAGGAAAAGTTGATCAGCACTTGAAGATTCTTTTGATAGGTTGAAGAATGTTAAAGGGTACCTTGAGCAGTTTTGGAAACTTTCTTAAGACCCTGCAAGAAGCTGAAGAAACTGCTTAAGGTAGATAGAGCTCAAATGAAGCAGCCAAGTTCGTGTGGAGTTTGAGGTGCACTGAACTTTGAGCGTCATCTGAGTTCATAGCTCCCTGTGGGATCACAGGAGCGATTTGTAGATGGGATCATGTTAGGAGGGTTCACCTAAGTTACGTGATGTTATTCGTTGTCCTGTAACAATGTAATTAAGGGAGCTTTGTTAGTATTCTGAGATCTTAACATAACTGCAGCTGCCCTAAAAAGTCATGGTGGGTTTTAGGGAGCAGCAAGTAGTGTGGTCAAAAAGACTCAGTTGCACTTGCTTACTATGGACAATCTGAAGTGGAGCATATGTCCAGCTACCTTTCCACTCGCGTTCAGGTCTACACAGCTCATCACTGTGACCCACCTACGGAAAATGAGATGGTGAATGATTTGAAAAATGCCAGAAGTTACAATTGAATCTTCAGACCTCACAGCTCTCAAACAGGCAGAGAGAATCTGGCGTTAGGGAGAAAAACATAAGGAACAGAAGGAAAGTTCTCATGTTTGCTACCATGACTGCAGGGTGCAGGCTCCAGCCATACAAGCAGTTGATGGAGAGAGCCAGGGATTGCATTTTCCAGCTTCTGCAGTCACTTTTAAAAATAAGGTAAACCCAGAACTCAGTTGAGATCCAAGCAGATACAATTATAGCATTGTGGTTAAAGTCTAAGGTCATAATAAACTAGAATAGATTGAAAGCCTGCCAGGGCAAAGATTTCTTTCCTTGATGTTTCTGCATGACAGATGTCACAGAAGATGCTCAGAAACAACAGGAAAGTGACTTTTGAGTTAAGTTTTAATTAGCGTTACCTCTTGCATCACAGTTTAGTGTGATTCATCCAGGCCCTCTGGTTGGTTGTATCACAGCTGAGAGCAGCACTGGATGGAGTCATTGTGCAGGCCATTTTCTCTTTTAAAGGGAACTGCTCAATACTAACAAACAATCAAGAAAAATGGGAAAAAGAAATGAAATAAAGCACTTTAGGACAGGTAGGATTTTAGAAATGTGCAAATCAGTGCTGTATTCAGATAGACTGCAGCTTTTCTGTGTAGAGGCTTCTTGCTGCATTCTTGGTACATCTCCTTGAAAATGCTTGCTGCGTATACTTTTCAGTTGAATTAATAGCAAGTGTTTACAAGCAGGTAATGAGGACTAGTGAAAAGTTTGTGAAAAAATATTACATGATAAGGATATATCGGGAAAAAAAAAGTAAAATCGTATAATGAAGTCAAATTTTTAATGATAAATTTTCTTAATCAGTTTTTGGATGGTTCTTTGGTGGCTTTTGAGCTCTGCTTGACTGGGGTGAAACCTATAAATAAAACTCAATATGAAAAAAATTACAGGTAGAAAGCTCTAAGTGTTTCTAAGGAGCCACTAGACAATTAAAAATGCAAAGGTAGTGCATCCTCTGTGATTGCGCTGTTGTGCTGGTGTCTGCTTTCAGCTAATTTACATCCAAATATTATCTTTGGGTTCAAACTGAGTTTAGCTTACAAATGGAAATTAATTCAGAAATTTCTTTTCAGTTCCTAGTGCAAACTTGGCTGTGTCAGAAAAACCTTTCCACTATTCAGAATAGCTGGCAGTCTCTCCTTAAAAGAGGCCCAGAACTGGGAGAGCAGAGGGAATGCAGGTCAGAAAGAAGGCGCATTCATTAGCTGCTCCCTCTGTAGAAGACTGCATACTCTCTGATTGCGATATGACAGGCTCAAATTGTTAGGCTGAGTCCTTAGCAGCATCCCACCAACTAACAGCATTAGAAGAAATAAGAAAATTAACTGAAAAATTCAGCTGAACTCACAAAGCTAAGACAAACTTCTCTCTAGAACTTACTATATGTTTTGTTTACAAATGTGCAAGAATTGTTTCTAACCTGTGATGCAGTACAGATAAACTAGCCGTCACCACAAATGCCAATATATTTTCCATGATGACCTTACCAGTTCTTGAGTACTCACTGTGCTTTCCATTGTTTACACAAGGCTCTGGGCTAGTTTTGCTTAGTACTTTAGCAAGACTCAGGTGAACAGAACATGCTTTATCTGCTACTGATAAGCAGATGAAACATTAGTTGGGATTTACTGTGGGCTAAAACTAACACTGTTAAAAGCAAGGAAAGGATATGATATGAAGATTGCAAATAATCATCAAACTAGGTTATTTTTAAATTGCTTAGTATGAGTTTTTAAATTACCAGTTATGTGGCAGTTTAAAACAGAACTACAAACTGTATGTAATAAGGAAAAAGCCTGCCTAAGAATCACTTTTACTGAAGTTGTTCTAACTATAGTCATCTTGCTGTGACAGTTATAGATACTATATTTTGTTCAAAACCAATTATGTCTCTGTGAGAAAAATCTCATCCACCTTCAGCAGAACAGTCTGATAATCTAATGGCAGCTATACTCCAAGAGCGAAGGAAAAAACAGAAACTTGGGGCTAAAAGGAAGATACTTATCTCAGTATTTAGAAATTTAAATAAGATTCATCTGTTTTTCATAGATATTTTACACCTACATTGCTTAATGATTTCTCTGAGGGACTAAAAAGCCTCAGCATTCCTTACGGATTCTATTTCTTTTATCTTTTGTCCAACTTTTTGGTCATCAGTAAATTAACATAAACATTATTACCTTAGAATAAGGTATCTTAATGCATAAAGCTAGACCCTAGCATGAATCACTCGTAAGTGTCCACTGAAGGCTCATGGCAGAAAGTAAAATTATAAACAGTATATTAGGTTATGTAAAGCTGTTCTGAAAACATGACTTTCTCGCTCTGGATAAATCACACTTGTCTTTCTTACCTTACTGAGCTACTACGTGTCAGCAATAGGTTGTCAGTGAAATGTGAAAATACCCCTATTCTCTATCAGTTCTTTGTATAAAGATAATATGCTCAAAGGGAAAAGTCCCAAAATTGTAAATAGTCAAAGGTATGTGCAAGTCAAACATCTTGATAAATGCATTGACATACTCAGTAAGATCAGAATTATGTCAATAAATGTGAGGCACAAAGCAATTATATTTAACTTTTTCCAGAACTGTCACAAGCCTTTCATAGGTAATAAATATAAAATTAATAATGAAGTCCCAGACTGTGAAAGAGACAATAGAAAAAGTTAGTATGCTCTTGTTATCTATTAAAAACTGAAGAAACAACCACAATTGGACATTCACTGTATCTTTCAAGTGGAAGCCTGGTTTTTATGTGATTTCATCAAATCATGGAAAAATTCTTATTAAGCAGTATAAAAATAACCTAGTTTGATAATTATTTGCAGTCTTCGTATCATATCCTTTCCCTGCTTCTAACACGGAACAGAGCCTCTGGCATCCACTTCTGAATACCTGCTGTTCTCATGTTTTTCAGCATGGTGGGAATTCATGAAATCTCAGATAAATTGTACAAATCAGACTTAGAAAGATATGAGCATTTGCAAACATGTAATTGTACTGGTTTAACTACAGTATTTTAAAATCTGATTTTTAGTTTAAAATGGTATGTGTCTGTGTATAGATCTCAATGACATTTCAAACTGTGTAAGGCTACCTTTAAATCCGTAGCTCGCAATCATTTAGATAGCCAATATATATTTTGAAAAGTTACTTAGAGTGTGATCCTAAAAGATATGTGGCATAGTCGTGGCTTTGCACTACATAAATAAGCATGTGGACCCAAAAAAGTGATTCAGAAACACTGATGAAATGAGTTAGACCTTTAAGTCTAACTATCCTCTCCAGTCGCTAGGAAGAGCAAAGATTCACCAAAGGGGCAATCCCCAGAAAGTCCAGAGGATAACCAGGAGCTGCCTGGAGGTAGCCAGTAGGAAACAGCATACTGAACTCTGAACTCTGAAGCTTTGGCTCCTCTTTTCACTAGGACTACTGGTGTTTTAGCAAATGAAACAGTGCCAGAGCATAGTGTGGGCACTGACACTCAATAATCTCTACAGAGAAATTCTTACCATGGTCCATGAAATCTTTTTGGCCTGGGACAACTACCACATCAGTAGTAGGTGACAAACAGTAGTCTGGATGCAGCTGTCTTGTTCAGGAAGCAAGTGAGAATTTAGTAATATCGATGTGGCTAGACCGGATCAGTTGTCTGCAGATCCAGATAACAGGCCCTGGCACTGTTTAGTTTGTATGGATGAAACTTGTGAATTATTTCCTGAGAGCAATGGCCTAAGGGTGTAGTGTACACATTCTTTAAAATGTTGTGGTCATGTGCTGTATGATCTTTATGTAACAGGGATTGAAGCATTCAGTTAGGAAGGGGAGAATCTGGGTCTTTCGATGAGGGGAGGTCCTTTTCAGCCTAAAGAAATTCAAGTCCACGTTCCCTAATGTTTTCTAGATTGTTATGTGTTTTACATTAAACAGACTTTTTGAGCATTGCCCTCCTTTTTTCTCTTTTTTTGCCCCTCTCTCTTTCGTCTGATGTAGATGCGTTCCTGCAAGTGCATGTGAGTGTAAACACAAAATTGCACCTACATCATATCTCAGTCACTGACCTTGCTTTCTGTATGTTTCTTGAGGAGTGATTTCTGTTGTTTTACCTATCATTAAACAAAAGGTCTTATGATCATTCACTCATTTATCTGAACGCACGTTTGCCCGCATACCTTTAGCTCTTTGAGATGGTATGGCTTTCCAACTATTGAAGATGTTCTAGTGTGGGATAGCATTATCCTGTTTGGTTTGGTTTGACTTCCTGTATCTGTTTTAAACTTCATTTCTTTTTCCTTTCTACTTTGGAGGTTGTATTTTTGATGTTCAAGTTCGCAGCAGCGAGAATGAAGAGTTTAAATCACCAGGAACTCCAGAAGGTCACCCCAATGCTGGTCGTAGTGTTGGACAATGTAAAGATTCCCCATGCAGTTTAATAAAATGCAGAAATGGTGGGAAGTGTATGGAAAGTGGCTCTACTGTTTAGTAAGTATAAAATTATTTTTGTGGATTAGAGCATAGACTAATCTTCAGACTAATAAACATGATAATTTAGTGTCTTGATAACAAAAGTGTCCAGAAACATCTCATCTTATTAGAAAGGAAAAAAAAAAAAGACTGTTGAGGGGTCTGTTCAGTTACACAGAGAATTTTAATACTGCAGTAATAAAATCAAGCCAAAAATACTAAAATTATTTTAGGACACCTTTCTGGGGTTCTTTTTCTAGAAATTCCACCATGGACCAACTCTGCGCCCACTGAAGTCACTGGTACCCAGACTTGCTATGAAATGCATGGGAAGAACTTCTATAAGAAAGGCACTTTTCAAAACTAAGCGCGCAGTCTAGCTAACAGAGAACAAAATACCAAAATTGCTGAGAGCTTGAATGTCTTAATGTCTAAACATGGCTAACGAGGCAAAAATAGGTGCCTCCTGTTTCCTGGAAATAGGTATTTTCATCTGAGAACCCATTCTTGGAGTAAACCACTGAACGCACAACATCAGAAAATTCTGAACCAGCTTAAATTCTTAGAAGCTCCCTTACCTAGCATCTGTGAATCTTCTGATATATACAGTTTTCTATGCCTCCAGTTGTGTGTGGATGCTTCACCGTCCTTCAAATCCACCTTCCCTGGTCACTTTTCATGCCATTCTCAAGCATTCATTCACCATTACCTTTCCAGATCTGCTGGCTGACCTGCTGGCTGACCATGGTCATGCCTTTTTCTTAATCCATTTCAAACAAAACAAAGTGGGTCAGTAAGGATCTCTTACCAGAATTGTTTAAACTAGCTCAGTTCATCATATGAGCTGTTCAGCTGGCCTATGTATGGGATAAGTGGTCAGAGTGGGGCAGAAATATCTTTAGCCAGCACAGAAGGTGACAAGTCCATGGTATTTCATGCCTTATCGCTAAGTCTAGATGGATCTTTGTGTACAGACTGTAAGGCATGAAGGAAGTCCGCTTGCGGTTTCACACTGCTGTTGTGTGTCACCACTTTCATGGTAACTGATCTTGTTTTCAAACACTTTATGACTCCCCTGTAAAACTTCACCTGAGGAGCACTCCTGATTTTAAAAGTGTCTGCCAAGATTAGTTAACTATTACTTGCTTCCCTGCATGTGCTTCCCCACATACATTAATTTATTTACACCCATTTGTTTAATTTTTTTTTTAAAAACAACAAGCACTGAAAGTATTCAAAGTATTTGAAGATACTGACTGAAAACACTGCAGACAGCAAGACAGATAAGAAGGCAAACACAGGCTGTGGAGTCTTTGTGTATGTAGATTCTTCTTCCTCTGAAGAGCAGAGCCCCTGAGGGAACTGGATTTGTGCTCCAATACTTTTAGTCTCCTGAAATGATCTTCTCCAGAGGTTTTTGTTCTTGTTTTGACCTATTTTTATGGCTTGCTTTCATCACCCACCAGAAAGTATGCGGTGCCATTAAATTTTAGATTCAGTTACTATAGGGATAATGCTTTGGGTTAAATAGAAGCACAAAAGGAAAAGCAGTAAACTTTGCATTCTGCCCAGCATCAGAGCAGAACTGCTATGTTTTAACAAAATAAAGAGGAAAGATATGAAAAATATAATGAATTTTATACTCAAGGGACAATAATAGCCTGCATTATTTTATTTATGGCACAGAATCATATACAATAGAAAATTATTTGTAACAAGATAGTCTAGGATATGTTATGGCTAGATTTCAGGTTTAGGTCACAGAATCACAGAATGGCTGAGGTTGGAAGAGACCTCTGGAGAACTAGTCCAACACCCTGCTCAGGCAGGGTCCTCTAGAGCACACTGCCCAGGATTGCATCCAGGTGGGTTTTGAGTATCTCCAGGGAAGGCGACTGGGCAACCTGTTCCAGTGCTCACTCACCCACACAGGAAAGAAGTTTTTCCTCATGTTCAGACGGAACTGCCTGTGGTTCATTTTGTGCCCGTTGCCTCTTGTCCTGTCGCTGGGCACCACGGAGAAGAGTCTGGCCCCATCCTCTCGACATCCTCCCTTCAGATACTTGGACACATTGATGAGATCGCCTCTCAGTCTTCTCTTCTCCAGGCTCAACAGGCCCACCT